CATTTCTTTTGTAAAACAAAAATCTTGGTAAGCTGCTTCTGATGCTATAACACATTTGAACCAATATTTTACGTAAACATGTATTATAAATATATCTTTAAACAGTAAAGGGCTTTGGACATCCAACGAGCATGGTGCATTGGTCCAAGGTCACGGAATATTGGTGATGAACTTTCTCCCAAAGAGATGATAACTAGTTCCAATAGTTCTTTATAGTCATCTCTGCAAATTGATTTTTGTAGTTTTTTGTAACAAAAAGTTGTTATTTCATCTTAACACCTAAGAGAATTTCTTTTGTTTACTTAAGGACTCCTTTCCTTTTATTATATTTTTTAATCTATTTTGTGCATATTATTCAAATGAAGTGTGGACAATTATATATAGTGAGGAAGTATTTGATTGTCTTCAAATATTATATTGTACCATTTTGTGTCCAAGAAACTGATTTTGCTCATACGTACTCGTATTTATTCCCATATTTATGCTGCTCTTAAAAGCTTCAATAAACATCGAGTATGATTTCTTATTTTAGTAATAATGTAGTTAATTGTGGACGAAATTGATTGATTTTTACCTTATTTGAAAGCTAATATGTTAAAGAATAATATTAATTTGGTACAAATAGTCAAAGGTGAAAAATACGCGAGATGGGAGCGAAGAAATTTGAAAAAAGTGAAAAAATGGCATTTTCCCGAAGTTTAAGGTCGATGAGCGACCTCTAAACATTATCCGATTAGTCTAAAACTTCACATTTAGTAGTTTTTTGAGTATTCGAATAAATTTAGGGGGTGGCATCTGGAATTCGAACACATTTTTTTGCCCCCATACATATTACGGCCACCCTAATATATATATATATATATATATAATATTTATATATTATATATTATAACTTCCAAACCTCACATTAAAATATATATGGGACGATTTGAAGGATTTGAAGTTAACTACTAAAGTATGATAATAAAGTTTATATATATCTACACAGAGTATTCTGTAGGCAGCATATATGTTAGTTCTATTGCGTTCCTGATTATGGTCAGTTTAATGTCATAATGTAAGTGCTAGACCGTTTTATAGAAAGACGAAAAACAAAAGCATTCAATTTATGATACGTTGTCTGTAGAACAACATGTCTCCACCTAATAATAGTATATTTATTTTGTTGTTAAATTAAACTTCAAAAATTTGCTCTGTAGTATAACCTCTTAAATTTAATGGTGTAAAGAGTACATCACAGTCGTCCAAGATTTGAAAAAATATCGCCAGCTATGAATCCTTGTTGAAAATGTACTGCAAACTCCTTAGAGGAAAGTGCATCGAAACTGATTTATTATTTCTCGATTTGAGTGAAAAATGTCATTAATGAAATATAACAAAAAAAAGGAAAACATTTTCAGAAAAGCAGAACAGTTATTTATATACATATTAAGTATAAATATATATTTATGCACATACATACTTATTTATGTAAATTAAAAAGAGGGTTCAAGTACTTTTTAACTAAATTCGTATGCATTGAATTATTACTTCATTTTCTCCTTGCGTGTAAGTACTAAGTCGGTCTTCCAAGTGCTATCCTTGAACACTATGAAGTATGTTAACGTATGTGTAGATTCATTTTAATTTAAAAGGAGTGGACAAGATTTTTAATGGTAGGATCCATAGCTGTCATGCAGAACAACTGCAGGCTTAATGAATGTGACGTTTGGTTTAGAGTTACTTTTTTTTAATTTACTAAAATTATAACGAAAATGAATATACAATATTTTCTATAAATTAAATTCAATGATAAGTAATATGCAAATTCTGCAAAGTGTCCTTAATTTCTGAAAGAGTTAATTTAATTAAAATTACATTAATTTTATTTTATTATTAAAATATTATCAATATCTTGTTAGATGACAATGGATGAAACAGGTCCAAAAAAAAAATAAGTTTCTTGTTGTCAGATAAAATTGTTCTATATGTCCAGTGTTATTAATAAATTAATTATTTTGCATAACTTATAGTTCCAGAAAAAAATTATTAGGAGCAACATCATGACACATAGGTATATCGCGTAAAATATCCAACCAATAATAGTATAAGTTCTGTTAATATAAGACAAGGCAGTCGCTCTATCACATAAGGTCAATTGGAATAGAGATAATCAATAATTAAAAAGTTGACTGGAGTATAAAAAATATTAAGTACAAGAATTTTTACCTGAATTTCCTTTTCAATAATAACGTCTAATTATACTTCCTACTGACGATGGATAATGTGATGCCAAATAAAAAGAACTTTATAAATTATAACGTCTCACTTTATATTTATTAAGTATATTATATTAATTATAATACAATAGTAATAAATTAACACATAGTTCAAATAGTAGTATTCATATCCATTAAAGGATATTTAAAAATAACAAATTATAAAAAAACTAAACTAATAGGACAACATACTTTTAACCATATCTCAACATTTCATGTGACGTTCCTTAATATGTTTTATACTGGGATGTGAATTATAAATAGAGAATATAGAGAGTGAAGTATAAATTTCAAGAAATGGGTATTAAAGGTGACAAATACTAAAAATATAAATGGAATAGTGTATGTAAGTAGATTAATTTCGGATGAGATGAAGATTTCTGGTGATGTCTTATAATAAAATAGTAGTTAAAAAATTATGTGCTGCAGTAACGAAAAAACAAAATATTTTTAAATAAATATACTTAACAAAATCATTTTCGAAACTATGGACCTCTCTGCTAAGCTTGGGTAAGAGCATGACTTAAGAAAATGTTTTTGTAGACCATGATGGTAAGGACTTTCTGAAACTATGAACTTTTATATTACAAAAGGAGAAAATAATGGGCTTCATAGAATAGTTTCAGTAAACTTTTCAAGTTTTAAGTTATGAATATACAATACAGAGTAGAAATGAACTGTGATCATTTGTTTTGAAAAATTATGAAAACAAATAAATGTTGAAATAGGATGTTCTCTCTAATTGCTGTTGAAATAGATGGACTCTAACTAGATACAAATATTGATAGATGATATGTTAAGATTCAATTTAGAAAAATGAATTCTGATACTGACTTTCAACACGAAGTTTTCGAAAGAGTATAATCTATTTCTATTAAAGTCGGCGCTAAAAAAACAGGTTAAAGAAAAAAGCAGATGAACTCGAAAAGAATTTAGTACTAAGCAGAAAGAATTTTAAATTAAATAAGAATCTTTAAATTTTACTAAGCAGAAAGAATCTAAGGTAATTTTGTAACATATTAAGACTTGAAGAATTGAAATGAAGAACTATAGTATGTAGTTTACCGCAAATAGCTGCTATTCGAGCATACCAAAATGCAAAAAAAAACATCATGTTTATAGAACAGGAACTAATTATTATAAATTCATAAATCTGATAAAAGCAAACTATAAAATATGTGAATCGATATAATGACTGAAAATGTTAAACCTGGTAAAAGACGATTTATTATATATTTATGAATAGCATAATTAAACTGTCAGTATTTTGAGTGAGAACTCAATCAGTACCTATACTAGTTCCTAGTTCCTATATTAATAGATTTCTTTTAACGAAAATTACAGAAGCTACGGGAAGAGGGACAAAAAGACGGAATTGATCCTCACCTGCGCAAATGCACAGATCGCTCTAGATTAATGTAATTCATCATCAATGCTTTTAAACTAATAATAATAAAACTGAAATACAGATCTTAAGGGTATAGTTTCCTTTATGATCAAAAAAATAGTTTCTTATGCACTACTTGGACAGTAGAGAAATTTTCTGCTGTCATCACACACATAATCAATCAACTAAATTAACATAACTTATTGCAATATTCAATTCTCTAGGATAAGATTAAAGAAGACTCAAAGCATAATACAGGTAGAATGTAATAATACTACCTTAATTTAATCACGATTTAAAACGAAGTGCATATTAATAAATATAAAATAATTTTAAAATTTATAAACGGACTTATGTAGTTTATGTTGAAATTCTGTTGATATTTTTTGCATAAATATGGGTTGAACCATACATTTAAGCCTCAATTTTCGTAAAATTGTAAAATTCATGTTTTCAATAGTTTTTTTGTGATTTATTAAACCAGAATTCCATGCTTGTAACTTTGACTTATACTACACACCGACTTAGTCGTTACTGCCTCCCTCTGCTTTGTGTACGTCTCAGAGGAAAAGTACAATAAATCACCGGATGCTGTTTTGTACTTGCCAGATCATCAGTAGCAATAAGTGCAGTCTTCTGCTTCAATTACTTGTGGCTCATATTGACACCCGTTCCAGATAATAATGCTTCGCAAGTGTATAGGAATATACGCCTTGGAGCAAGTAAGTGGAGTATTTTGGTGAATGACGTTACGCCATGAGTACGGTTTTGTCGCGGAAGAATATTTACAACACAATAATATTGTGTTTTCTTTCAAGTTCCCCACATAATTAATTTTTTTCTCATTCTACGTTTTTGCTTTCGATTTCGTTGCCACTGGATGAGGAAAAAATGTTCTTTTCAAGAACTGCTGAAAAACATTTTTTTCGCGCCTAATTTAATGAGAAAAAATTTGTCTCTTTTCAAGAATTCTATCCGCATATAGGCTTCAGACGCGGCTGTGTGCGTGCGAACTTCGGTAATGGGTGGATCCCACAACTGTTCTTAAAATGGCGCAAAAAATAATATACAAATTCCAATTTAAAGAGAATATTGATTTTTTTCTGGTACATTTTATGGATATGTGAACACATCTGGTGTGCCAAGGCAGCAAACCCAAGACAAACTGTTTAGTTCTAATAATAAAACACATCACATACTTTGTTTTCTTTACGTACAAAAATTTATTGCTTACACATAAAAATTGAAATCAAAATTAAAATAAAGGAAAAAAATAAAATAAAACTAATTAATACAATAAATATTTATATATATAATCATTTTCACTTATCAATAATGAACTTAACTATGCTTACAATGTAAATGGAAAGTATGAAACATGTAGCTCAACTGCAAGCCACACAAACTCTACTCAGCCCCGGAAGAGCTACCGACATTCATGTTTTATTTGCCTGGGCATCGCCCTCCATTCTCCAAACGCCAAATAAATAGCTTAATTTTTCCGGTGGTATTACAGATGATCCGGTCACCCGATGCAGTCCCTTGAGGTCAGTTTCTGTGCCGTTGACGGTGTTGAGCAGTGATGCCGCAAAGCTGCCGCCTGCCACATTATTTGTGTCCACCGTCTTCAATAGATTGATTTCGCTAGTTGACAAGACTCGACAAAGAAAATCTATGTATCTAAAATAATTGTAAAATATAATTCCGTATAGAACACATACTTGAATTTTGATAAAAAAAAAACTACATAATGTGTGTAAGTATCATGTTAGTAATATATTAGTCAATGATTTTGGGTTATTCCAAGTCACGATTGCGGCGCCTCTAGTTAATTCCAAGTTGCGTTTCAAAGGTAAAAAAACAATAATAAATCAGGTACGGACAAACGCGGAATTGGTATTTGTTAGGGTAAATCCAGCTGAGCGGGATTTCCTCACATTGCCGTCTCGGGTTTGGAAAATTTAATATTTGGTTTTTATTATGGGTCTTAAGTGTAGCGTGTGGCTAAAGTTCAGGGTTTTGTTTGGGAGATTGATTTTAATGTGATAATAAGAACAAAGAAAATGGTGCTAAAAGTAATGGCAATAAATGTTATAATAGGTAAATCTATTGAATGAAAAAATAAACATAAGATTTTAATGTTGAAGTAAAGAATATACGAAAAGTGTACAGTTACATTTTGATAGGAGAGAGATATGTTCATACGTTTTCATATATGTAGAATTTTTAATTTAATGAAAGTATAAGATGTTCCTTTTAGTCATGAAAGGTAGTAAATATATAGGAGTTTTATCTGTATATAAAAATGTATCTGAAATGCATTTATATATTTATGTATATACATATGTAGGGTTATAGGCAATTATCCAATACATAACTTTTTTATATGTTGGTCTTATTCATTTTAACTTTATAACATTCAACACGGGTGGCTTAATAACTGATTATATTATAGGAACCTATTATATTTTCGTCGTAGCACAAATATAAATTTTAGTTGAAAATGATATAATTATATCTTAAGTGGTTCAGTAAAACTAAAAACGTAAAATAGTTGGATCTGTTTATTTACCGCTGCTATATAAAAAAATGAATTCGCGTTGGAAAGAAGTAATGCTTTAAGCCCATCAATAAATAACTATAGGTAGTTTAATTAAAATCCTAAGATATTTAACTTTTCTTAAATAATTTGTCAAAATAAATGCAAAACAAATTTCAATACTAATAAAATGACATATTAAAAATATTAATAAAATAAAACAATTGACTAGTGTCGCAAACTAGGATGCATAGTTAGACGACTGGGACAGTGAAACTCCATGCTATAATCTGAATTGTGTGGAACTTCCGATCTGCTTTCATTCTTAAGGGACTAGAATAAAACAAAATAGCATTGAAAATATACATGATCCTGGCTTTCACTGACACAGAACACTTTACTGATCGTAACTGCTCTTTTGTGTGCCTAACAGGCTCTAACTAAAAAGAAGTTATCCTACCTTTCGAATGAAAACCAGAATATAAGCTGTTGAAGACATCATAATATGAAATGGGGATATGATATTCACCTGGTCCATAAATTAAAAACATAAGCTAGTAAATACTTTTCTGATATTTTACAGTAAGGAAGTAAAATGATAATAGTTGTTTGTAAAATTAAATGCTAAATGAATTGAATTATATCAAAACAATGAACATAGTATTTGAGAAGTACATTGGTATAAGCTCTAAAAAACATATGATCCTTACTTGTTATACCAAGAAAGTTATAGAACCTTGAGGATAGATATCTGAATATTTTTAAAAAATAGCATAATTAATTCTTCTTTTATCAATGGTAAAGAGTCAAGAGTGAAAATGGTGGAGTCGTTATTTTATATAACTTACTTATAACCCAGCTATAATGCTGGGTTAATAAAATAAAAAAAAAAAAAACTTAATAACAAGTTGAGGTGGAACTAAGGATATGAAGAGCGAGATATCCAAAGTAAAATCAATGTTTAATGTTCTTTTTAAGTTTTGAATTTTAAAAAATAAATAAAGCTTGCGAATGTGTTTATACTGGATTTAATTAAAGTTTTTAATTTAAATATTTTGTACTTAATTAGAGTTGATTTTCAAAAACCTTTATAGGTGTTTAATACAAATTTATTTTAAATTTTATCTTTACGTTTGAACTGACGATTACTTGAGACATGCAAATTTATAGGATGGTTTGGAATATACTAAGCAAGAGCATATACTGAGACTGATTTAAAATGGATTTTCGAAAGTCAGCTAAAATTTAATATGAAAAGTTTGAATTGAATAAAAATCATTAATAATTAGTTTTTGAAACTCTGAACAATTTTGAACCGTAAAACTGTCTTTTGAATAGGCTACTAATACTAAAGATGTGACACCGGTAAACACTTAAGTCATAGCTACTCCAACAGCTCTGGTTAACTATAGATAAACATCATTTCAAAGTATCGTGTGACGATAAAATGTGCTACTCAACAATCTCGTTAGAATACACAAAATCAAGAAACAAAACAAATACTCTGTATTCCTGAGAAATAATAAAATAGGCGAGATTCTTTAATCAACTTAGATACTTAACTAGTCGCAGATTTGGTCAATAACTGAACAAGTATGTAACTGGCTGATATTTTTAATGGAAGACAACATACATTCAATGAATATTGCCATAAAAGAATTTCATTATTGTAGATCACCTGCACTATATAAAACTTCTTGATTTTTGTTTGTCTATATTTTCTTTTATTTGAATGGCATTCAGTACATATTACATATAATAGACAAGAGATGTCTTCAAAGACATATAAATTGTTTACAACACGTCATTTCTGCAATCAAATATTAAAGAAATTAATTACGAATAACAGATATATTAGATTGAGGAAGAAATGATTTCCAAAAAAGCGCTGGAGATATAAACTAAAAGGAGACTCTTATGCACCCAAAGGGCTATGTAAGAATATTCCATGTGCGTTGGTGTTTATGCAGTGTATATTCGGTTCAAAGTCTTTAAAGAAGATACTTTAGAGGACAACAAAGAGAATTATTCCCAATTTTTAAGATATAAGTAGTGGGGGAAAATTATATTTACGGATAATAAACATATGAAATTTAATATTTTTTACAAAGTTGATATTATTTGAGTGATACTCTTCTTTCGGAATATTACAGGTTGCTTAAAGATGAAAGTTAGATAAGCCATAATCTTGTAATAGAGGTAAGCCTCTATTGCTTACCTTGCTTCATATTTTGAAGAAATTTTGCAATTGAAGTTTTTCGAAGTCTAATGTTGCAATTAAGGCATAAGGGATGAAATAAGTTAACCAAGCCATGACTAGATGCTCGGATGAGAGATGATTATACATATTTAGTTTTAGTTACTACTTGTTGCTTTGAAATTATCTATTGGCTTGTGAGCAAAACAAAGAAACGCAAAGGTAAGCCATGCAAGCTGAACGTAAATACATATATATATATACATATACTAATATATATATACTTTACATCTAAATACTTTACAGCATTATCATCACATCTAAATGATAATAGATAACAGTGAATATCTACACTATGATATGTTTAATGGAAATTTGTCTAATGTGACATTATGCGTATCACAAGAAAAACGTAGTAGAAGTATATACTAATGATATAAGTAAGCGAAACGTAGATATATTATATAGAAGAAGAGAGAAGAAATAAGAATGATATTACTTCACATATACAACATCAGTTATTCTTCGAATTATATTAATTATATTAAATAGACTATCTACACTATTATTACTGTTACAAAAATCAACTTCATCTTACCTTGTGGCTAATTTCAATGTTTGTATCTTACTGAGCTTATCGCTCGGCAATGTAGGAATGATTTGCTGTAGTGCTTTGAATGCTTCATTTAAACTCTGTGTCCTTTGGCGTTCACGTACGTTTGCCATAACCCGTTGATTTTGAAAGTCTTCTGTATCCTCTGTTTTACTAGACTTACGTTTGGTACGTCGACGCGGTTTACGAAAAGGTTTCATTGAATCGTTGAAATCTCCGACGGTACTCAGCTCATCTTCATTCGCATACATATGTATGTTATTACCTGTTGTTTGCTGATAACTAAATTCCATATCATCCCGATCTGAGTTGGAGTAAACGCTGCCATTAATTGAATTACCATGATCATATTGTTCAAAGGGACTATCCGGTTGGGGTCTCAGTTGTGCTGATGTCGATATTATTTGTGATGTTTGCTGTAGTCTAGTGGTGTTCGTTAGATTATTATGATTCAGCTGCAATTGTTGTTGTTGTTGCTGCTGTTGTTGCTGTTGCTGCTGTTGCTGCTGCTGCTGTTGCTGCTGTTGCTGTTGTTGTAAGTGATATGAGTATTTATATTCAATAATGTTATCACACATATCTTCGTCAGGAAACTCAAATTGCATTGGCGGTAGTAACTTTTTTTCATTCTCATTATTGTTGGTGCTATTATTATTTAGATTATTGTTCGGTTTCAGTTCACAATTTGACATGTTGGACATCACATCCGTTACAGTCGTTGGCAGATAGTCTGCATACAATTTTGTGTCTTGGGTGGGTTGGACACGTTGTTGTAGTTGTAATAAGGATTTCTTATTGCTCTGCAGCACTTCATTGCCGATACACTCAAATTCTCGTACACGTTTGCCATTCTCATTGATGAATGAAGAATTGTCGTCAATTGGACTAGAAAAGTGGTTGTGCTCTTTGCTGCCAGTACCCACATTGGCAATAGGTGAGGCCGTTTGTAGGCTGCTTGGGGTTGAACTTGTGCTGCTACTATTAGTGCTTAGAACTTCACTACTCGGTATATTATAATCGGTTTCCTCATGTTCCATGTGACAGTAACCATCGTAATCAGGCACATTGGTCATGTGATGCTCGTTCAAGTGCAAATGCTGCATTTGCTGAGTTTGTATTGGCATGTAGCTGTGATGTGAGGGTATGGGATTATGTATGAAGGCTTGTTGCTCCACTTGTATTAGCTTGATGACGTTCTGTTGAAACTCCATTATATTAGGTAAGGGCTTATAACTTATATCCAGTAACACTTTTGGTGAAGCAGCGCGAACCGACATTATTTATAAAAAAATTGTTTTTTATTCAAATGTTTGTTTTATCAAGTTTTAGTCTTTTTTTAATGTTATTAAAATTTAATACTTGTAAATTTTAGCCATTATGAAACTAAATGAAATACTTTACTTAAATATTTTGCACTTTATTTAGTTGGTACTAAATATGTTAGCAATATGCAAATATCTCAATAACCAAACTCGCTTACGCTCGGAAGTCAACTGATAATGAAATCCTTTCCATATATCACACATTTGCTGGCTTTTGATTTGTTCACACGCATAATCTCTTCTTTTCTTGCAGCTAATAGTTGTCTCCTTCGTACACTATATATCGCTATGGGCTATTTTAGAACACCCACGACATGACGTCATCACTTCACTGCCTTCACACACAATTTAAGAGATTAAGAGAAATTTTTGTGTGGAAGTGCTCACCAATCGCAAGCGCATTGATCATGCAATGGAGAGAGTTTCTATGGTTTTGTTGTTGTTATTTTCTTCCTTTTGATCGTAAAATTGGGAGAAGAGCGCTTCTGAATTTTTTTTTGTTTAAAATTTAATATTAAAAGCGATCTCAAGACATTATAATGCAAAATATATAATCTATTAATATGTACAATATTATTACTCTTTAATAAGTGAGCATATAATTGTGTATATACTAAACATAGTTGATATAGCTGACAATATATACATATATATAAGAACATCATCCTAAAGTTAATATTATTTTATATGGCAATAATAAAAGACATTACTTCAAAGCATTTATATATGGTTTAAACTCGGTCATTTGGATAGAACATGTTAATTATGTTGTATGTACTCGTATATATATGTTATATGCAAAATTAAAAATGTATATAAAAAGGGAATAAAAAATTGATATTTTTATTTCCGTTAAATATGTATATATTTAGTAAACTTTGTGTATATAATAATATATAGTTGTATGTTTATCAAATACTCATTAAATAAATTTGTTTCTACTTATAGCATTCATTTTATGGTTTAGCTCTGAAATTAATTCTAGTATCACACATGAAAAATTTTTCATAACATCATGTAAAATTGATATTATTATTAATTGTTGTTAATTTGATGATATAAACTTTATACATGACATTAATCATCTGTCTATATTATTTTATAATTTGATGTATAAATTTACGCGAATCCAAAAACAAGTTCTCATATAACGTAAGAAAACTATATATCTTATAAGCCGTGTTCACGATCCAGTGCAAATGTTCTTGCATCAATGCATTCAACTATTGCAATAAAAACTGCAGAAGCCAGATTGATAATTTGATGCAAAAATTGTAGCAGATTTATACAAGTATACAAATAGTTATGCTATTAATTT